AGACATTCATCTGCTAGTTTGGCAAAGGCTGCACCTATATCTTATCTTTACTTTATATTCTTTTACAGAAACTTGTCGAAGAAATTAGTTCTAAAATTAGTCGATGTGAGAAAGTCAGATTGGAAACCAAGATCTTGGCAAGTTTATGGATTTTGAAGAACCAGGAATAATATCGCGGTGTTGCAGACATATTTGGACTTGAAAAGGGTCAACTGCCTATGATTTTCTGCAATTCTGAGACAGTGTAGTAAGCATCGGCCAAAAGTACACTGAATGGCCAAGTGTGTCACGTGCTGATGTTATCATGAAATCATTTGAGGAGAAATCATCTATCCCAAATGTGATTGGATACATTGATGGCAGTTACATCAACTTAGCTTGTCAACAAACAGAATATCGAGCAAGTTATATTATCGAAAAGGTCTGCACAGCTTTATGTAAATAAAGTTAACAAATATACCTGTAAAATCATATACTATCAATACTATTGTTCCGGCATGAAACTATTATTCCTTGAGTGACATATACAGACTTTAACGATTGTTTTACACTCTTACTACTAGAACTAGTAACTTGTATCGCATGTTTGTAATGTTGTTTTGTTTGTGACATCTTTAAGGCTGATTCAAGATTTAGTCTGCAAATTTCCATTGTAGTGAAATATAACACATTCAATACTACAAGCTATATCAATACACAAAAGTATCTGCAGCATTGTTTTGATTGAGACAAAACAAAACTGCATATATGTATTTTAAACATGCACGTAAATTTACTTATATACATTGTTTTGGGGGTTTTTTTTAACAGGCAATATTTCCATGCAGCTTTAGGCAGTGTGTCATCACGAAATGAAGTTCACCGATGTCTACACAGGTTAGCCTGAATCTGTCCATGATGCCCGTGTATTCCAAGCAAGCCCTCTGTCTACTTATTTGGAACAAAATGGTATTTGCAATGATGGACTTATTTTGGGAGATTCTGCTTGTCCATTACATACTTATCTTATAACATCATATAGGAACAACGGTCATCCAAGCACCTGTCAAAAGAAATATAACTTCTTGCAAAGTTCCTGTAGATAGATCTGTTAGAGAAAGGGCTTTTGCTCAACTCAAGGGAACATTTAGATGACTGCAGTATCTGGATATGCAGAAGATTGAGAAGGTACCAGACGTGATACTGACTGCTTGTGTTCTTCACAACTATATCCTCTGCCATGAATCCTCAAGTGAAACTCGGGATGAAGATGATTTTAGAATGTCCTTTTAGGATGTGACATACAAGAACAAAGTAAGAACGGTTGCACCAAGAGGGATAGATAACATTTATTGAAGTTATACTCAACTTTCTTGTGTGTAGAATTGGATAACAGAATAATTCTGCAAATATTTGAAAATTTTCTATCTTTATATACACATGTATAATATGTTGACATGTATTGTTAAATACTCCTCAATTGCCAAATGAGACTGAGTGGATTGTTTGTGTTATGACACTGAATGGATTGTTTGTGTTATGAGACTGAGTGGATTGTTTGTGTTATGAGGCTAAGTGGATTGTTTGTGTTATGAGACTGAGTGGATTGTTTGTGTTATGGGACTGAGTGGAATGTTTGTGGTATGAGACTGCGTGGATTGTTTGTGTTATGGGACTGAGTGGATTGTTTGTGGTATGAGACAGAGTGGATTGTTTGTGGTATGAGACTGAGTGGAATGTTTGTGGTATGAGATTGAGTGGATTGTTTGTGGTATGATACTGAGTGGAATGTTTGTGGTATGAGATTGAGTGGATTGTTTGTGGTATGATACTGAGTGGATTGTTTGTGTTATGAGACTGAGTGGATTGTTTGTGTTATGGGACTGAGTTGATTGTTTGTGTTATGAGACTGAGTGGATTGTTTGTGTTATTGGACTGAGTGGATTGTTTGTGGTATGAGACTGAGTGGATTGTTTTTGGTATCATTTACTTGTTTTCGTATATACTGCTGATAACAATTAAAATACTGATGAAATGTCACATGTCTTGCTTTGTCCCTGTCCCTGTGTGCACAAAGTGCAGTTAAGCTGATATCACAAGCAAGAACAAGGTCTAATAAAAATGTGAATGTAAAATGAAGCAGAAAACAAAAACAAAACAAAGTGAAAAAGGTAAAATTAATATATATATTCCATGAGAGCATTTAAGTATGTCATTATTCTACTTAGCATTACATAAATGGCAGTTTCTACTGATGAAGGACCATGGCATAAAGGAGTGGCATGTCTGCAGACATGGACACAATACATCTGAAAATTTACAATAGCTAGACATGAATATAGAAATAAAAGGAAATTATATATTCAGTCCTTGGTACGTACCCATTTGATAATTCTGCATTGCAGATTATAACATGGATGACATAATGATTTTATATTGATGCAACATACCAAAAAGAAGTTTGTTTTATTTTGATTGTTAAAACCAGAAACTGGTTTCTCAGTAAAATAACATGTTTCCTGCATATATTCAAATGTGCCGAAATATCAAAATCAAATAACCATCATTTTAAACTTGTTTAACTGTTTAAAGATCTGTTGAATACAAATGCTACGATCGACATTGTCCACAAACAAGAGCAAATATCCTGCATATGATTAGTTGCCAGATCTTTTGTTTGACAACACATTATCAGGGCCACATGCATGTACTTCCCAAACTTCACAGGCTTTAGTTGCAAGTTCCCAATCCTCAACATCAAAGGGAGGTAGGTTTATTTATCGCATAATGTAACTTAAGTACTTGTACATTCTACAATTACGTTAAAAAAAACATTTTTGCAAGGCACAAAAAAAAAAATATACATTCGCTGGATCAGTTTTATAAATCTGGTCATGAACAGTAATAAGTATTATGCTGATGGTATTTTGAAATCTTTGCAATAATTGTATTTAAACAAATTACAGATGACAACTTTAGATGGACAGCAGCCTCAACGAAGTGCCTGATTGAGAAGAACAGGCATTTTTAAAGCAAATTCAAAACCTCTGTTAAGAAGAAGTCCGTCTGAAAAATGATTGCTGCAGATATGAGGGAAAAGGGTCATAATGTACATTGGCAGGTGTGTGAGAAAAAGTGGAGAAGTATTAAGCAACATTACAAGACAGTTGTAGATAACAGCAAAAAACTGGCAACCAAAGGAATATTTTGATTTGATGAATGACATTTTAATTGGAGAACCATCAATCCAACCCCATAAGACCATCGGTTCTATGGGTTCAAGTGAAAAGCAACCAGTACAGACAACGGCACATATGTGATGTTTGTTCGTATTGTTGCTTAAAGGTTAGTTGAGCTTTCTTTTAGTGATAGGTTTTACTTAGAAATGCGGCAAGAGTTAAAAAATACCGAATTTTGTCATTTTTTGGAGGAAGTCCGAACGTCGTCCCGAGGATCTCGAACGGAAAGTCCGACACCTTGTTGATTAATATGTAAGTAGTGGATTTTGGGTTTTAGCTCAGGTATTAAATACCAGATACAAGCGCCTGTGTTTCGAGCTAGTAAAAAGATGGCTGCCGTAGACTCGCAGCTGAGCGTGTGAACCGCATCTAGACATTATTCTTCCGCGATGACGCATCAAAACAATTGATATCTTATGAATTTATCAACAAACAAACAAAATATGACATGTAAAATATGGTTTTGTGTTTTATTTTTTACATAATTTGACTGTATTGAACTACCAACGTTGTATGATGATCATTCAATGACAGATTATATTTTATTTACATTACATCAATACGTAGACTTACACAAGCTCCAGAACCTGGGACAAACGATCAGAATAGACTTCACAAGTTCCAATTATTGAGAGAAAAAACACGTTGATTGAAAAATAAGGATTGAATCTTGCTTTGGTCGATTTCATTGGGTGATGAATTGAGTTGGTCTTGAAACAAATTCAACATGAAGTTCATTAAATTCGTTTCAATACCAACTCAATTCATTACCCCATGAAATCGACCAAAGCATGATTCAATCCTTAAGTAAATATGATGAAGATACAAACATACACAGCGTGTCGTTAGTGTAAAATGAAACCTCTTTATCACATAACTGACCCATTTTACTATGTCATATATGGCCATGTCATTAAAATGGTATTACACACGTGTAATAAAACCTAAAGGTGCTGCGATTGGTAAAAAAACATGGGAACATATCCCTACGCCACTACAGGTACTACTTTTATTTACTCTACCACATGATACATTTACTGTTATTTTAAATGAATTTGAAATGTTGATTTTGTCATTATTATGTTCATTGCATTAAGGCCTGAACCTGCTCAGTCATAAAAAAATAAGAATTGTAATCTTTATCTGCTTTTCACTGTGCGGACCGACAATACTATGATCAGAGTACTTTGATTTTGACCTATATAGAGTCGGCTGATAACACATAATTGTGCTTCAAATTATAAAGGTTATTTGATAAATATAATCTTAGATTCGTGCCCATGTCATTTTGAATTTATTAAACTCGCTCAATAAATTAAATAGGACATGGACACGCATGCAACATGAACGATTAACAAATATAGGAGATAATGAAATTGCACTGACAAACCTACCATTAAAGGACAGTGGAATCCCAACAGTAAACTAAAGGTGTGGAGCTACGTCTTTATCGACGTTCGTATAGAACTAATTATTAGTATTAGTCCCTTATAATGATGCTAAGTAACATATAGAGTTCACTGCTTGTAATAAACCCCACAGAAGCTGATGTACCTTGTATTCTCAACAATTATACAAGGATTACGGGATAACAGATAAATTAAGGCCATTTTTCCGTACGACGATAGGGAGATAGTAGGACGCAAACGAGTTGATATAATGATCGGGGAGTCTCGCTGCGAAAATCGATGAAAGTTGTTATACGCTTAAATCCTGCCGACGCCTCGTGACAATGTTCGGTGCCGTGAGTATTTTCTACTATATAACACTGGCACTGCCACAGTGACAGTTCCTTATGCTGGCAGCTGTATATGTCATCTAACGCCTGGACGCAAATCACTGGAAACAAAGAACCAAAAAAGTATATTCTGTTACAGCTTACGGTGGTTCAAGCATGTTGGAGTAGTGTATTTTCGCTGTTCGACACACACTGGAACTCGGATTTGCTGTTTACAGTATTTGGTTTCGGAGAACAGGCTTATTGAACGGGTTCTATCTCAAATACTTATATGTGCAGGAATTCATGCTGTCTTAATGAAGGTACTTATATTTTCATTATTTTCCTATACAAAAACAAAATAGTTTCTTTATCTTAACTTAACAGTTTTATTTGTCTCCATTATATTTGCATGTATGACGTGTTGTCAAGGTATGTATAGAGCTTGAAAGTCTATATTATATTTTCAGTGATATCTACTTATTATATCGCATAAATGTATATATGTCAATTTCAGCGAATCTCGATTTGAATCATGTTTTTTGTAAGAATGTGTCAATTTTACATTGGGTACTCACAGTATATTGCCGAAAGACAATAAGCAGATCGTGTCAGCGAATGCATTATGTGTCAATTTGAATAAAGGCTATTGTTGTTTAAACGCAGGAGTTTATTAATTGTGTGCTTTATTGACAAAATGAATGCATAACAAAGGTGAGCATCGTTTTATATAATTTCTGTTTAATTTTAGCATAAATTATCTTTTTTATTCGAAGTGATACATTTTTAACGTTATACACGTTTGGTAGCTTCATTTCCCCTTCCCATGTATTCTACGTACGTTTAGTTCGAAACACTTTGTAATTCTTTTGATCTTAAAGTATCACTGTTAGTCCTAAATTCAAGAAATGGCAATAAGGTACAATATTTTTATAATTTACATGGTATTTATATTTATCCATTTATTATGTATCTATTTACTTTGTTTGGCTCTCTGCATCGACATACTCATTTTTGAAACAGGTGCTTCCTTCTGAGTTTTTCTAGTGATTCATGATTTAAATCTGCGTTGTCTATATGACGTTGACTTGGTAAACTTCTCTCTTAAAAGAAGAGGTTGCTTTCACGACGTTTACTGTTTCAGTAATCAATTTAAACAAAATCACCTGAATTGATGTATATTTCTGTAATCAATATCTATCAAAATTCCTTTGTTTGCCGGAAGGATGTCACAATACTGCTGATTGCTTTTTATGTATGAAGGTTATCAATTACATAAATCGTTTTTTCAGTTGAATTGTTTTTTTACTATATAAAGGGTTTACATTCCATTAATCTCTCTTTCAAGAGAGTTGCGTTACTTCATTAATCTTTGTTTCAGCATTTTGTCAGTAAAGGGAGCTCAATGTCGTAAAGGACTCTTTCAGTAGGAGTGTCGGTACAACGGTATTCCTCACTACCTAACTAATGACAAACATAGCGAATGTACTTTTACTATGGTTAATTTACTGTTCTCAAAAGTAAACACCCTGCCTCCCTTGCTTATGGAGTATACGTGTTATAGTTGATTAGCTACTTAAGAGTTTACAACGAAATAGATGTATCCCGTTGAACAACACTTTCTTGGCGACGGTTTTCTACCGAAGATGTAATATTTTGTACATTTTGTCTTTGTATGTTGATACTGTGGTACATGTACCATTTTTGACGCTTTGTCCTGGTGTGTTGACGCTGTGGTACATTTTGTCCTGGTGTGTTGACGCTGTGGTATAATTTGTCCTGTAGAGTTGACGTTGTGGTATACTTTCTCCTGGAGTGTTGACGTTGTGGTATGGTTTGTCCTGGAGTGTTGACGCTGTGGTATAGTTTGTCCATGTCTGTTGACGCTGTGGTATAGTTTGTCCTGGACTGTTGACGCTGTGGTATATTTTTTATTTTTTGATCACATGATCGAATTCGAACATGTTAGCATGCGTGTTATATTTGCATGTGCCAATTAAAGCAAATAATGCAAAATATTGATTTGTGATATGCAAATATACATCATTAATTATTTTAACAAAACAAAGCGCAAAACTTGTTTGTTTGATTAACACTAACCACTTGACTACGGCTACGCTATGTATAACCCCACTGGACATCTGTGTCACATGCCAACGAGAGATAAACGAACAATCGTTTAAAAACAGTGTAGCCTCAAGGAAAGTATCTTGATTTAATTAATCTCTGCTAAAACTGTGTTGTCTGGATGCAGGTACAATTGTTCCTTTAATCTCACTATGACGTGATTATTTGATTAACTTTTGTCTACCCAATTTTGTTGCATGCTACTTGCCAAATGTGTGTTCATTTCATTAACCTATGTTTTAATCGGCTTGTATACAGAAATGTACATAATGTAAATTTCATTCGTTATACCACGCAGTACTATTGTGCAATGACTTCAAAAGCAGCGACAGTATGATGGCTTACACTTCGTCATCAAATGGTTCCGTCCTCGGTGTCATGATTCTACTTTTGACTCTGTTATTTTCTCATGATAAAAATCGATGTCCCTGTATCCACTATTTTGCAGATGATACAAGTTAATAAGTCTGGGAACTGTTACGTAATCCTGCATACCTGTGATCACAAAGTAATGGTGTGATCATGCAGCAGCGTAACGATATGATAGTTCTGTCTTGATCTCAGAGTAGCGCTTTGATAACATAAAAAAAATATTGCGATTGATCAAGTTTTATATACGTAACCAATCAAATTGCTAACAGTGAACTTTGATACTGTCATGAAAAAATCTAAGGGTGCCCAGGAGATATGTAAATCGAGAAGGAAACCCATGGAATTTAAAGACGGATAACCAAGTACGAAACGGCGTTGACTTTTGAAAGCACAACGTTGCGTTAATTTAATACAGTTTCTTTGGTACAACTTCAGTTAAACGTAAGTTCAACATTGTTCATATGTTATCAGAGACAATTCATTTATTGTTTACGCTATCATAGTATTACTCGTATCAATAAATGTCACCTTTCAAATTACAATGTCAATTTGGTTTTAAAAAAACATAAACGAAAGTTTCGGACCTGTGGACCTTCTGTCCTCTTGTGTAGTGGTCTTCCTTGTTAGTCTGGGAGTTATGTCGTCAAAACACAGTCATTTAGCAACGGGAAGCTGTTTGCTGTGTTTGTATAAAATTGTTCTTTAAAATACGTGTCAACAGTAAGAGTGTTCCGTTGCTATAGTTATCATTGGAAACAAATGGATGACAAATATGATGTGATTTTATGTTTTTTCCTGTTCTTATTTGACATAAAAAAAAAAATATGAACACACACACAATACAATCTCTTCAGTCGTAGTGTATACAACTTTGAATTCATGCAGGGTTCTTTTCGCGTTGACGTCATGAAATACACATAGTGTTGAAATAGCAGTACAACAGGTCGGTCCGTGATATTTTAACACGATAAAACGCCAAGTTAACACGCCAAGTTAAAACTTGTTTAATATTGCTTGTATACCTTTTATAGTCTTGTTGACATTTTTGACGTTGAAATAATGCGGTGGTCTTAAAAATGATGCAACATTTGAATTTATACCTATCAACATTTTAAACTGTGTTTATAACGTGAATGGAATGCAGTTTTAATTGGCTGTTACATTAACATATTGGTCAGTAAAGCGAACTGTACTACTGTTTGTAGTCAGTCTCAAACTCAACTTACAATTGTGCACGGAACTGAAGACTTCGCTGCACTGTTGAATTTGCGGTGAATCTCTCCGCGAAAATGACACTGCTGCAAAAATCTACATTGAATATAGTTATACAAATATAACGAATGTACACTGTTTATCATACAATATCGGCGATGAGAAATTATCATAAATATTTCTGTTTGATTGTCAAGCTCTATTGTCATGTAAGGTTGCCTTTGCATACCCCGTATGCTGTAGCTAAATTTGTGTATTTAATCAGGAAATTATTTTATATATAGAACCAAGTATGATTTTCCTACGATCCGTGCCCACAATGTGACAATATATATAATGACATGACTCGTATAATTTTTACAACTCCCAAAATGTTATCTTAACTAAGGCGATCTATACATTTGATGTTCACACGTATTATTATGTACACAGGCGAAATGTCTTGACCTCAAAAACATCTTTACCTAAAGCTCATGCCAGATTCAGGTAACATTAACATAATACAATTTTAATATCAATTCAATTTTCAGTTCGATTTTTCCATCGATTTTCACCGGAAATCAAGTGTTTAGCTCTTTTCAGGTAAAATTGACCAGATAGTTTTACCTTAAGTTAACATGAATTTGACCTGGATGGACATATGCTCTAAGGTGGTTTGTTGTGGTTAATACTCTGATTTTAAGTAACGTTCATTGATTCCTAACCAAGTCTGATTGTTGTAATGTTCGCAGAACGTGTTTATCGTACATTATCCTCGTTTATTTCCTATACGTGCATACTGACGTAAACGATTGTTTAACTGTAAATTGAGTGTTCGGTCTCTAGGAAATGTCAAATCTGGTCAAAGACCGGGAATAAAGACAGGTGTGTTGTGTTGGTGCTAATTGCATTAGTAGGTGTACCTTCCAACGTTTGCTTTTGTTTGTATGGAGTTTCCAGTATAACAATGCAAGTGAACCACTTCCACTTTTCTGACAAAAATACGATCGACGTTCATGCGCAAGAAATAATATCTATCTAAAGTCGCAGATTGCAAATAGAAACGTTTGCTCTGTAGACCTTTACTTATGACTAGGCATTAGAATGTTATCAAGAATTTAACAAGACATCTGCAGACTCATCCATTACAGACATCATGCTGCACCAAAACTCAATTAACTTGAAATACAGCATGGCATATAGAAATACACGTCATTACAGGTGTGCGACAGTCTGAAGAAAGTTCCATTGTAATGTGTTCAGATGGTACACTAACCTGTCCGTCATCCAAAATGAGCGACTCTCTGCAGTTTTGCAGCAGATCTTGGGTATTAGACAGACTTTTCTACATCCGGGCTACCTGAAATTGAATTGGGTCTTCCCGTAGTTAACTGTTCTTTCCTGTGTACGACTAGAGAAACAATACGCTCCTACGTTATTTACGAATTCATGTATGTCCATACTAATTTTATTATTTCAGTGCAAGCAATTATTAAAAGTTTGTATTTTTACAAAGGACGAAAAATCCTTCGCGATAAAGCTTAAAGCGATTTATTGTCATACTTTTCATATACCTATTTTTAATAAACTTATTCAACTTCAGTGTACAAAAGTGAACATGTGATAAGAAAAC